GAGACTCCAACTCAAGAAAAAAAAAAAAAAAAACTTCACTAAACATTTGGGAAGTCGGGAGACGGTTATACTACAAAGTACACAAAGCTGTAGCCATCTCATTGGCTCATACTGCCTCTTCCCTTTTCTTCTCTCTTTTCCCTATTCTTCTCCAAAGAAAGCTACCACGGTCCCCTCACACTGGGGCAGAAAAGCCCTGCCCACTCATGCTCTGCAGGTTCACATTCTCCCTCAAGCACACTTGTCAGGAATTCCTTCTGAACATGCCTGGGAGTTTAGGGAAATGTGCAATCTACCCACATTAACCAGGGCACATTCCCTGAGCTGGCCTTGACTTGGTGCTGGCCCCTCACTCCTGCTCATATAGGTTGTAGATGGTCACAACCATCCTAGAGCTCAGAAACCATGGCTCTTCTTTTCATTTTGTTCACACGTGGCTAGGAGTGTTGTGCACATGCTAGATGGTACATAATTGTGGCTGCCTACTTAGAACTGCAGAGTGTTTCTCCAGCCATATTCCCAATCTCCTTTCAGTCCTTAGGGAAGATGCCCTTCTGGTGGCTCTAGGGTTAAAACAGGATGGGCACGGTGGCTCATACCTATAATTCCATCACTTTGAGAGGCCAATGTAGGAACAATACTTGAGCCCAGGAATTCCAGACCAGCCTAGGCAACGTAGTGAGACCTCGTCTCTATTAAAAAACAACAGGACGGGCACGGTGGCTCAAGCCTGTAATCCCAGCACTTTGGAGGCCGAGGCGAGAGGATTGCCTAAGATTAGGGATTTGAGACCAGCCTGGGCAACTTGATGAGACCTCGTCTCTACAATAAGTCAAAAAATAAGCTTGGCGTAGTGGCAGGTGCCTGTAGTTTCAGTTACTTGGAAGGCTGAGGCAGAAGGATCGCCTGAGCCCAGCATGTCAAGGCTGCTGTGGCCAGGAGCGGCCACTGCACTCCAGTCTGGGCAACAGAGTGAGACTCCAACTCAAAAAAAAAAAAAAAAAAGGCTGGCCTTGGTGGCTCAGCCTGTAATCCCAGCACTTTGGGAGACCCAGGCGACTGCCTGAGCCCATGGGTTCAAGACTAGTCCAGGCAACTTGGCGAGACTTTGTCTCTACCATAGATGAAAAATTAGACGGGCCAAGTAGTTCCAGCTACTCGGAAGGCTGAGGCGGAAGGATCGCCTACAATCATGCCTACAATCCCAGCGCTTTGGGTGGCCAAGGTGAGACTGCCTGAGCCCATGGGTTCAAGGCCAGCCTGGGCAACTTGGTGAGACCTCATCTCTACAATAAATCAAAAAAATTAGCCGGGGGTGGTAGTGTGTGCCTGCAGTTCCATCTACTTGGAAGGCTGAGTCAGAAGGATCACCTGAGCCCAGCTGGTCGACATTGGGTTAGCTGTGAGCATGCCACTACACTCCAGTCTGGGTGACGAAGTGAGACTCCTACTCAAAAAAAAAAAAAAAAAAGAAAGAAAAGAAAAGGCAACTATGAGTCCTGGTGCGATGGCTCATGCCTACAATCCCAGCACTCTGGGTGGCCAAGGTAAGAGGACTGCGTGGGCCCATGGGTTCAAGACCAACCAGGTTTTGCTTTGGTGGTGGTGGTGTTTTTTTTTTTTTTGAATTGGAGTCTCACTCTGACACCCAGGTTGAAGTGCAGTGGCACATTCAAGGCCACACAAGCGTTGACCTGCTACGTTTCAGTGATCCTTCTGCCTTAGCCTTCCAAGTAGCCGGAACTACAGGCATATGTTACCACGCCCGGCTAATTTTTCTTTTTTAAAATTTATTGTAGAGACAAGGTTTCACCAAGTTGCCCAGGCTGATCTCAAACCCTGTGGGCTCAGGCAATCCTCTCACCTCAGCCTCCCAAAGTGCTGGGATTACAGGCTGGTCGCTTAGTTGCCTTTTCAACAGAAATAGCCCTCTCTCTTTAAACATGCACAGGTTTTCTCTGTTTTGAAGTTTCATTTGAAGCAGTGACCCTTGTGGTTCTGGTATCTTTCTCCTTTCTTGCCAACATTTTTCAGCTGGGGGGAAGGGAAAGAGGTACAGTGAGCTTATTATTCTATTTGACTAATGGCTCAGGGCAGCGCCTGTTTTTTTTCTTTTACTTCCCCAATCTGGCTGCAGTAGGCATCCCTTTTCTAAAACTGCTCCCTAAAGTCCCTAGTCAGCCTGTCTCAGTCTTCTTTCTACGTGACACTGTGACCACCACGTTCCCCTGGAGATTCTTGCTTGCCTTCTGAAGAGCAGGGCAGGGCTGCTCAGAATGCATCCTCAGAATAGGGCTGTGTGTGCACTGTGTGCTGCAGTTCCTTATGACAGAAGTCCAGAAACTGAGAGTGAGTAACCTGGCAGTGTAATTCTATATGTAGAAACTAGTAATTGTTGAAAAACTCTGAGGCTTGTATACTGTCCTTTTTTTAAAACTAGAAAATATTGCTTATTTAAAGTAAATTAGAGAGAGAGAGAAAGAGAGGATTTACCTCCCCAAGGTGGAGGAGGGGGCCAAAGCCAGAAAGCATGGTGACAGCCATACTCAAAGAGCACATGGCCACACCAGAGTCTAGCATGGCAGTGGCCATATTGTCCTTTTCCATTTCATTTCCATGGTAATTTTTATTATATTTTTGAAAGTATTGTTCAGCAAAAACTGGTCACACACACACCCTAGCGATGGTTTGGGGAACCCAGGGCTATGCTATCCCAACTCACCTCCCCTTCTCAGACCACTCCTCCCTCCTGTGCCTTCCCTGGAAACTCTCTTCCTCTTTCTGGGCTGTGCGTGTTTCCCAGGGCTTAGCATTCATTTTTCCTCTTTAGCCTCTAAACTTTATTTATTTATTTTTTGTTTTATTTTTTTGAGTTGGAGTCTCACTCTGTCACCCAGATTAGAGTGCAGTGGCCGCTCCTTGCCACCGCAGGCTCGACCTACTGGGCTCCGGCGATCCTTCCACCTCAGCCTTCCCAGTAGCCGGAATTACAGGCATGCGCTACCACGCCCGGCTGATTTTTTGATTTATTGTAGAGATGAGGTCTCGCTGCCCAGGCAGGTCTCGAACCCACGGGTTCAGGCGATCCACTCACCTCAGCCTTCCAAAGGCGTGGGATTACAGGCTGAGCCACCGAGCCCGGCTCCTCTAAACTTTAATATCTCAAATCTGAAGGTATTGCTCTTTACCTCCACCCTACCCTCCCATCCTTCATAAATTAGTCTTCAACTGAGCACTTAGGGTAGAAGCTAAAAAAAATGTCAAGCCAGAGCTCCCAAGCTGGGTCTATATAGCCTTAAGTCAGGACAAGAGGCTAAAACTCATATTCGTTGGCACCCATGCCCCGAGGCCCCTGACTAACTACCAGAAGCCCATCCCCAAAGGAGGGGTGACCCCTCTATTAGCCCCTTCTTCCTGCCTTCCAGGTGTCTATCCAGGAGAGGCAGGACCAAGTTTCAGTATTCCAGTAGACGGGGCCTGGAGTGGGAGGCAGGTCAGAGCTGTTTCCTCTGGGACCGAAATGGGCTGTGCTGTGGGCCCTCCATTACATTTTCTAGTCCAGGTGCCACTGGCCTAGGTTGGCCTTATCGAGGCAGCTGACTGGGGCTGGAGGAGTGATCTGTGGCCTGAGCAGCGTGAAGTGGCCGGGAGTGCACCAGAGCTGCCAGATTTAACCAGGCTACGTTAGCTGGCGTGCTCAGCGTGCACACTGCCAACATTCCGGAGGGAACACTGAGTCAGAGACCTTGGAATTGCTCGTTCAACAATGCTTACTGAGTACCCACTAAGTATTTTACTTGTACTAGCACATTCAAACTTCACAACAGCCTCGTGAGAAATTATTATTATTGTACACA